ACCTCGTATTATTCGCTGCAAGCCTAATAATAATGCTCCCTAATAATAATTTATTCTGTATTCATTATTAAGGATTTTATTTGTTCTGAGTAATCATTCATACGTCATCACAAACAATAATAAAGCAAATGAATATTAATGTTACCTAAATTTTCATCATAATTAATGTAAACTACAATTAGTATCATAATACAAATAAAAGATATTGTGTCTTGGTAATACAATTTACATGTGTCCATTTATTTTTTTATTTTACAAAGTAAAAGTCCATCAAATCTTCTTCACTTAAATCTAATATAATTCTTTGTATGTTTTTAACTAACCTATGTGGGTTTTTATAATTAACAAGATACTATTTATACAATTTCTCAATACAAAAATTGTTACACTGAGGAGTGATTAAATTTGAATCGTAATAAGATATATAAAATTGATAAATTTGAATCGTAATAAGATATATAAAATTTAATGTCTCGATAATAATAACGGCAAAGTCGCAACTGAAATTTTCTGATAAATCAATTTTTGTTATCTTTCAAAAATACGGACCCACTTCTGTTTATTGCATCGGCCTGCGTAACGTAGCAATATGCAGACCGTTATGTCCAATGGAACATAAAATATTATAGGTTTTTCGAGATCCTATTGCAATACGCCTGTTATTAGATAATCCAAATAGAACCTAGCTCCCCAATTCTGCTAAAAATATTTATTTTTATATGATATGTTATGTGTTAGTACTTAGACCCCGTATGATGATGTTTTTTTCGAATAGTATTGTATTCTTTAATTGAACTATTGTATTAAAATATTCGTTTATTTGCTTTGCAATACTAATAATTTGATTTATGTACTTATTGATTTATGTCTTATTGTTTTCTAAATGCTAGAATTATATCTTAATCAGGAAGGCTAATTTGATCATGTATGTTCTTGTGACTCTATATACACAGATAGAGAATAAAATACAGGTGATTTTCCTTTTCCAATATATCTCGTAATTAACTTCCCGTAGGGTAAGTTATTGTAATGGGCCGAAAATCGGAATTGAAAATTTTTACATTTCTCGACGTTTTGAAGGTATCTGAACATTTTGGCATACTTCAGAAAAAATGGATGTGTGTGTGTGTGTGTATGTATGTATGGATACAAATTTTCGCCCACGTTTTCGGGCGTACGGATCAACCGATTTGAATGGTTTAAAAATTTGATTCCTATTGATAAGGAGATGTGCTGATTAGTTTTTGGCAAAGGCAGGTCCAGCAGTTACGGAGATAAGGAGCAAAGAGTGCAGAAAATATAAATCGAGTTTTTGAGAGAACGGAGCATCCGATTTGAATGATCTAAAAAAACATTCAATTAGTAATGATTGGGAGAAGGGGTTATTAGTTTTTCGCAAAGGCAGGCCCAGCCATTTCGGAGATACAGAGCTAAATGTACAACAAATGGCAGTTTTTGAGAAAAACTAAGCGTCCGATTCAATTGATTCAAAGAACTTTCTGCTTGTCTTAACAAAATAATTGATTTTGGAAAAAAAATTTGTTTAAATTTTTTTTTTTTAATTTTTTGTATATCGAAAATAATTCAGATTTTATTTTAATTCTGATTATAGTTCTAATATAGTTTAAACAAATAATTTCAACTCTGCAATTCAGTTTATATAATTCTTATAAATATTAGACAATGTTACAATATTTATAATAATCTATTTGAAAACATTCAATTTTCCTCGAACATTTCGTTACGGTACGGGAAGTTCCAGCAATTTGCCTTAAGGCACGATGCCACCCACCCCACTAGTTTGATATTTATTTTAAATGGGAATATATTATTTCTTATAATATATTCTCTTTTAGAGAAAGTTTCCATTTAATTAAAATCCAAGGATCATAATCGTATGACCAATTTTGTACTAATTAAAAAAAATGAAACAACAGAAACCATTAGCTAAATATATCATTATGTTAATTAGATTAATATATCAATAATAGTTCCAAATTTACTAATTTCTTTTTTAATTTACATATTGATTGCTAGAAATATATAGTTTATATCATATCACTTATTACTTTTAATCTATTCGAATCAATTTTATTCTTTATAAATAGATGTTTATAAAACTGTTCTTCCTTATCCTTATCTTTTGAAGATATTCATTTAAATATCTGTTCTAAATTAATGATAATAATATAAGCGCTAATGATAATAACATAAGCACATCAAATTATCAGATATTTCATAGAGTTTTTAATAAGAAGAAATATTGTTTATATTTTTATGGGTACTGTACTAATGTTTACAGTTAAACTGCGACGCAGCGCTTACGCGCTTTGCTATTTCGTTTCTATGCAGCTAACGCATCACGATTACTTTGAAAAAAGTTCAAAACTTTAAAATATGTATTTTAAAATGTAAACAAATTCTATTTTTTCAAAAAGGTCATTTTTCTTTAAAAATTTCAAAATTCTCTAACATCTAATTTTTTTCAAAGTTTTAAGAAAACTTTGGGGCTTTTTTAAAAAAATTAATTTGGTACGGAACGTTCCATAAATTAATAAATAATCATAATTTTCTAAATTGCCATTAATCCATTTGCGTAATATTTATTCATACGCTCTTACTAACTTTTCTTATCATTTTCAATATTTATTCAAATTGTCCGCTCAGATTAGTGATAATCGTTATCTTGCGCAACTTCACTGCAGTTGTCAACTTGGCTGTCAAACAGTCGGTACCACATTTCAGAATGTCAGTCACAATAATTCCAAGGCCAATTTGTTGCAAGACGTCAAAGTCAAAATAAAATGAAATCTGTTATAAAATTCAGTATACTGTTTTCAAAACAAAAAAAAGTCGAGTTCGAGTCCACCCTCGCAATAGAAACCACAATTTAAATCAAAATTTTAAAGTTCTCAAAATTTACAGTAAAAGTGAGTGAAAATAATCTAAATTCATTATATTGATGTGTGATGTGCACAGTTATCGTTTGCGAATGTAGAAAACCTTTTTCTGAGCTTTTTTGTATGTTTTAGCAAACATGGACGATAAACGGGCTGAAACGTCATCCGATTCGGATTTTGGAGACAGTTGGACAATAATTGATAGAAATTCTTTCTGTAACAGGATGGCGGATGTCATTAACCACTTGGAATCTGAAAATGTTTTTGATCATTTTTCAGAATTATCGAATATGAGGTTTGTTATATTTAATCAAAGTTATGCATATTATTTCTACAGTTGCATCGTGCAAGTGATAATCGAACATGTGCTTAGTTATAAAATTTTGTAAATACTATAGCAAACTTATGATCTGCTAATCACAAGATATGAGCCATTTATTTTGAAAGTAGCGTACATCCGTTTATCTTCAAATCGAGATATTTAAGGGTTTGCATTTCAATGAATTTAAAAATATATGTATAGGACATTAACACTAGATATACCAGCCGTTTGTATATACCTTTTTGTACCAATACCAGTCAAAATGTGTGGTCTCTAAGAAAACATACTTATTGTTTTTTTAAGTTGAACAAAACTAATTACAACTGTTAAATGAACTTATAGATATTGTCAAATAACAAAATATATTAATTTTTAATCGTTTTTACAGTACTTTAGCACAATACTCAATAAAAGTGTCCGGCAGCACCCACTTGTTTGCGCGTAAAATTACAAACGACGTGTTTTTATATTTTAATTTCAATGCCATATGAATAATTATAAAAATAATAACGGTTATTGCATTTACACCCTTCATGGTATATGTTTCAAGAATTTTCATTACTACAAATTCGCTTAGAGAGGTTGATTCTTGGTCTTTCTCTAAATGTGGGCAACCTCAGAATGACATTAGATGTCAGACAGAATTTTATGTAAATTTATAATGTTTCTTTGGCATTTACTGGCCAAATATGATTTTGGCCTTTGTTGGAAAATGTTATTCGACCAAAGTGATATGAGCTCCCGGTTTGAAGCAATTTTTGCTATTTTCTATAATTTGTTCCAAACGCGGGCTTTTTTCTATAAATTTGGCCTGAGTATATGTCTGAAAGCTCTTTGAACTTCTAATCTACCTGCAAAACCTATTCCACTTTACTACAACTCTTGTCCAAATAGTTCCGTCCAAATTAATTTTAGTTTTCTGATTTGGTAATGCACCAAATTTGTTTTCAGAATTGGAAGAAAGTGGCTCGCATCGTCTCATACGTTTGTTTGTGATATCTATCCATTTACTAACGTACTTGATTCATGCGTATTGTCTTTATCACGAAATTTTCCCATTTCTACAGTTGATAATAGCACTGCCTTGTGGATTGAATTGTTTATCTAAAAATTCACCGTCACTGTCATATATTTCAAATCCTAGGTCCAAACATTTCAGAAATCTGCTGATTGTATTTTCCAAACAAGCTAAAAAAACATTGTTTCCATTCTTTTTTCGAAGACTGACAATCGCTATAAAAATAAGTCGAAACTACGGCAGTTTTCTCGTTTATAGTTTTTTTTTTTACTCAAGAATATATTTTTGAAAGTTTTTGTGTCCACGTGAATGTTACTTACTTGTATCAGTGTACAAAAAGAATAAATAATTATACTTGAAAATCACTTTGAATAAAATTTTATTTAGTTTTAGTGTGTTGAACGAAGCTCGAAACAATTGTTTTGTTGGTAAAAATCTAGTAATATTTCAGCAATCTGCATTTTTACAATGTAAAAAAGAATAAAGAATAAATAATATATATTGTTGTCGATAAGAGAGTAGGCGATAAACGCACACAATCTATGGCTATTGTTATTTGGGTTATTTTATCAAACATTTTCTATAGAAACTTGCACCAGTCATTTTCACTGGTGCTGGTACAAGTAGTAGTAACACAATTTATTTTAGTTACTAATATATAAAGTAATTTTGAATGCACAAAATGATTTCTATACTTATAACTTAAACAGTCATAACTTCATTTCACACAACAAATTTTACATATAATGGGAACTTTGAATTGAATGTGCCCAACCAGTCATTTTGACTGGCGTGGTATATCTAGTGTTAATGATTTGTATCATTTAGGTGTATTTAAGATTCCTCGTAAATCTATAGTTCGCAATAATTGTGGTGAATTAATTAATATACGTTTACATATCAAGAATGGAGTTAGGCCATTTTTAAAATTAGCAACTAGATACAACACAAAATTTGAAGATATCAAGTCCATTCAACATAATTCAAGATGTTTCGAATTAAAAAAAAAACAATACTGAATTTATTTAACATATTTTAAAAACGTGCAAAATCCCAAACATAAATTTATTACAAAATAATTTAATATTCATCTACATTTTGTTCGTGTTAAAGGGATTTGAAATAATCATGATGTTCTGGTAATGTATATCGTAATAGGTTATGTTCTTGAATTTTACTGTTGTAATTTATCTGATATTTTTACACAGTAATGTTTCTCTAATTTAATTCAGAGAGATTTTTCTACAGTAAATTTTTTTGAACTATTTTGGTCTACCCTGACGTGTTAATAAAATCATCACTTTTTTTAAATTATAACTTACTATTTCTTCTTTATTATCTGAATAATAATCTTGTTTGGTTCTTCCCTTTAGGTGAAATAATTTCTAAAATTTATTATTAAGTTTTAAGTTCTATATTAATTAAATATACTGGTTATTCAGCTAAAACAATTGTCCAAAAATAAAGGTTGACTTGTATATACTAATTACTTAAAATTACTTTTATCACTACTTTCTGACGTTATCAATAGTAAATATATCATCATGAATATTTATGTATAAATGAAGCTAGGCTACTTGCAAACTATACAGTACGATTATTAAACTAACTCTGAAAATTAGTGTCAAAAATTGCATATCTTGTTTGGATTTTTTGGATTAGAAGCAACCTGAAATGCTTTACTGATAAATAGTATAAATTTATACACATACCCATGATAACCAGAAAAAATGGAAAACCTGAGTTAGGCCACTTACAAAATACATAGCTCATATAAATAATGTTTTTTGTTTATTATATATCATATGTATATACATATATATATATATATATATATATATATATATATATAAAATTATTAAAATATTTCAGCATCTAAAAAACTTGAATTTAATATTACAATAAACTTAAGAGTATTGTTAAAATAACTTTTTAACAATAAGATTTTGATTTGTGATAAAGCAGTTTGTTTTAGAATTAAGATTTTGATTTGTGATAATGCAGTGAGTCTGCACAACATGTGTTTATTGATATTACCTATATTCAAAGTGTAAAAAATTAGTATTGTGAACAACCAAAATTAATAATAATTGAATTTATGTTAAAAAGCATTCACATGCGTGACCGTGAGGCAGAAGAGTGTTATTATGTTTCAAGCTGTGTATAAATATTTGATATAATTACTTGTTATATATTTATTTAACAGCACTTTTACTGCATAAAAAGTAATTTGTAATGTGAGTTAATAAGAAAATCTTGGAAATCAAATTTAATTTGTGTTTCATATACGAGTATATTTACTTTGTATTATAAGTGCAACAAATATTAATGATGTAAATGTGAGCACACTGCTGCTGATTTGTTCACCATCAGTGTAAAATTCAATAGCAAAAAATATATATTAATATATATATATAATAATAATGATAAATAGTAGTCTGCCCGGCAGATCTATGATGTGGCGACAATGATTTTCCTTTCCTCTCTTGTTTATTATACCTTTTACTATTTTTATTCCATACCTTTCGGCTATAATCCTAGCTTTCACTCAGTGGAAACTAAAAATCAAATTAAAAACTAGAACAATTAAACTTGGGGAGAAAATTATAAAGAATGAAAAGTACTTACAATTAGTTAATCTTATTATTAGTGTTAAAACAGAAAATTCAATAATCTGTGATATCAAGTTATGGTAATACACTGCATTATGTAATATAAACATTAAACTTGTAATTAAACAATATTTAACAAAATTCTAACTTTAAAAAATCACAAATAGATAGTGTGTAATATAAGTGTTGCCCATAAACTGGTTTAAGACACAATGGAGAGAAGATTTTTAAAAAATGTTTTTCCACATACGTGGTAGAATAATTGCTAACAGCGTGTTGAGTCCATTGCGTTTATTTATTGATTATTGTTATAAATAGTCAAAAAAGATCCTTCTATAATTTTTCATTTAGAAATCAAATTCAGACTCATACAGAATATTATTTCTGAGATGAAAAAAGGATTCATTCCTAATGAAATATTGGACAGCGATGAAGAGGAAATTGTCGATGGACCAGAAGAAGATGCACGTAAAATTCCGGTCGATGATGCAACATCATTTTATGGGAAAGACTATACCGAATGGAAAAAAGAGCCCAATATGGCGTATGCATGCACACAACATTATGCGCTTTATTGGCATTCTCATTGCTGCTGTTGTGACTCTTAAGCCGGCCACAGACGTAACTGTATACTTGCACAACTGAATGAATGCGCAACCAGGCGTATTTTCACAGCGCCCACAGACGGTTCAAGTTTATGTTCAAGTACTTGCGCAAGCATATCACAAATGTCAAATAATAAATGTCAAAACATAACCTAAAAATATATCTATTTTATTAATTTATGTATTTACAGGATCAGAAGAGAATTCAAAGTGTTCAGAGGGCTAATTTAATAACTTTTAATTGTCGATAACTTCATAAACTTGTATTATGAATTCGCTACAAAGTAAAATAAAAACGGGACATTTGCTGCCACACGCGGCCAACGAATGAACTTGCCGACTTGAATGATTGCGCAATTAAAATAATGAAAAAGTGTCTACTCGCTTGCACCAGTCTGTCAAGTTGCGCAAAAAACACTACACAGACGCTACAGAATACATGCGCAAATTACGTCTGTGGCCGGCTTTAGTAATATGCAAAGTGGCAATCAGATGCACTCCCTATTTTTCGTGTTTGAATCTATTATTCAAACTATTGTTACGATACTTTCGCTTCGATGACGGCCGAACAAGAGCATTTCGTACGCATTCGGATAAAGCCACGCCGATCAGAGATATTTGGAATTTCTCAATTTATTCCACGAAGCCATTGAAATATGGTGTGAAAATATGGCGGGCTCGTGATGCAAAAACCATATATCCATTGCAAGCCATTTTGTACACTGGCAAAAACGAGGGGGCGCAACGAGAAGTGAATCAAGGCGAGAACGTGCTCTTGAAACTGTCGAAGCGATATAAACACAGCGGCAGAACAGTAATCGTCGACAATTTCTTCACTACGTTGGAGGTTGCCAATATATTGTCTACGACCGGTCTTGCATTCGTCGATACCGTTCTATCAAACAAAAAATGTTTGCTTGAAGAAATGAAAAAAAAATCCACATCACGCACTACTATCGACACTATTCGGTTTTCATAACAATATTGTTTCCCTTTGCAGCTATGTTCCAAAGAAGAACAAAGCAGTGAATTTGACTTCAGCCATGCACTATACAACAAATTGTATTGGAGAAGCACAAAAACTCGAAGCGATTCTATTTTATAATGCGGCAAAGACAGGTGTTGAGAGCATGGATCAGATGGTGACATATTACACCACAAAACGACCAACGAGAAGATGGAAATTCGCTTTTTTTGCAACATACTTGATGTAATGGGTCTCGCTGCTTTTATTGTTCGTAAAGAAAGTGACAATATAAATAAAATCGAAGCACGGCGTATATTTATATACAATTTATTCAAAACTTTGGAAATGCTCAACGTCGAAAATCGTATGAACAATGCTTAGCATTATCAAACACCCATCGTTCGTCTTGCATTCGAGTGGGTTATCGGCCGTTCACTAAACATTCCAAACCAAATGACATCGAATGATATCAAATGAATGAGCATCGATATCAAATGGACCCGATACACTGAAAGGCAGAAAAGACTGTCGTATTTGTTCACAAACAGGCAACAAAATATGCCGTAAAACTCGATTTCTTTGTTCATTATGCTTTCATCCGGTATGCCAACAACATTCAAAAATTGATTATATATGTTTCAATTGTGTTACACAACTACTAGAGCTATAAATTGTACAAACAACTCTTTCGCTCAACTCAACTCAAAGCTCTTGCAAGAAGTAAGCAATAAATAAACGTAATGAGCTCAACTGTATGACTCAAATGGCTTTTAATTTCACAAAACAATAAAAATGTCCCCCAAAGGATTCGCAATTGCTTGCACACATGTGTAGAATCTTGGTAAAAACATTTTTAAAAAATCTCTTCTCCATTATATCATCAACTACTTTACGTACAACATATATATTACGCTTTTACCGCAATTTGTGCCTTTAGCTCGTCGAGTAATGATGCGTAGTAGGCTTCTGTATGATTTTTTTATTTTTTGAACACTGTTTTGACTGTTAATTTGTTTTGGTGTGAAATGATGTATCCAAATTTCATCTATAGTTACCAATAGGCGCTAAAATTCGGATTTATTATCTCCAAAGTGCGTTGGAAATGTTCATTCACAGTTCGAATGTGAGCAAATTGGATGTCCCAAACGATCATAGCCTCCCAAGCTCTTACGGTAACGTTTAAACTCAGTTCCCAAAATTTTACTACGGTAAATGATGGTGCAGATTTCCCATAAACGGAGCCTTGTTCATTTTTAATTTGCGTAGGCGTATTGGTACTGAATTTTCTCCATTTTTACAAAAAACACTTACATCTACTTAAACGACTGCCAATTAAAAAATTTAGCATCTAAATGGCCAAAGATTTGGTGAGAAACTCATAAAAGTGATAAAAACTTTATCACCAGCTTTTGTTGATGAGTGGCACCACTATCGTGCTCAGGTCGGAAACTTTTCAACCCACCCTCGTATTAATACTACATATATTCAAATACAGATAAACTAATATATATATTAAAATAATTCAAATAGGATTTAATTCTCAGTTTGATAAATAACACCTTTCCTGCCTCACTACTCCACAGAGTTAAATATGTGAAGGCTTTTCAACATAAATTTATTAATAATAATTTTGTTTATTATAATTTTTTTTCTACAACATTGAATACTTTGAATCTTTCAATATGCAATATATTAATATCAATATACAATATTTCAATTATTATATGTTACAATACCTTCATTACATTGTTTGTTACTAACTATACTTATGATATGGCAATGAACAGTAAATTAGTTTTATATCATATGATTAATAATTTATGTTTTATTGTACATGTAAAAAATATAAAATTTTTAGAATATAGAATGTGCAGGCAAAATAAATAAAAGACATTCGCATTCTTTTAGATAATTCTTTCTCTTTACTTTTTTTGAGAAATATCAATTATTTCCAGTAATGAAGTAATGGCGTTTATTTATATTCTTATTATATATTAGTAAAAGAACCAGTGAACTATTGGCTTAGAACCAGTAAATAAATATTCTTTATCATTGAATTTTTTGTTTTCCATATATTGTAATGTATTTCATTGTAATACAAATGACACACATTTTAAAATTGAAATGAATTTACTTGTTAGAGTGTGAATTACTTTTTGTTAACGTATAATAAATATAAACAATATTTTGAACTTTATCTATTTTCATAATTATTACTTAATTATAGTAATAGTATTTATAACAAATAATATAGAGTAATATTTTAAATCTCTAGAAGCAGTCCTCAGAGTTTTCAAGATGATTCCAATAATGATGCTGATGCTGATTCAGATGGAATTTCTGTAATAAGTGAACCTGAAGAACATCAAATTCTAAATCCTGTGTCGGCATGCACGTCTGCCTGTAAAGAATCCCCTACTCCTTCTGGAAGCCCAAAACATAAGTCGCAGCTTAACAAACCACAGACTGGTCAGCCAGAGACTCGGACTCCAAAAAAAAATAAAATACCATTTAATAAGCCTTTAACACCACCTAACACACCAATCGACTGTGATGCAACTATGTTTGAGAAAACAGACAAGAAACATAAGAAGAGATCTTATGTTCACAACAGAAATGATAAAGTTAGCAACTTGCTTAATATTTTAGTTGCAGGAACAATTGCTACAGCTGCTGGTTTAGCTTTAGGACATTTGATGGGCACAAAATCTGAATGTGCTAACTTATCTGTTGGAATGAATAATGATTTAAGTTACAAACAATTGCAATATGAAAATTACAAACTTAAAAGTGAATTGCAAGATCTAAAACGAGCGTCATGGCATCTTAACAGTCGTATTCATAACAAGCATATTCCTAAGTCTCGTAGAAATTCTACAGGAAATGAGTTTTCTTTCAAAGCATCAGAAAATTTAGCTGATACTAAACTACAATTTATAGTTGACTTCAATAATAATGACATTACAAATAATGATGTGTTTATTGGGCCAAAAACATATGCTGAGAGTATAAATAGCAGTTCACATAAACTAGATATTTTGAGTGAATCTGCAGTGAATGAGACAGAAATTCCGAATGAAAGTGAAGTGGTGACAGAATCTTTCAAACCTGATCCTGAAGTATTTGCTTTCTCAGGTATATCAAATCTAGCGTTGAATGGTTCTGATACTAATGATACAATCACTTCATTAAGTAAAACTGAATCAAATTTGAATGAAAACTATGACACTATGGATTCTGATAAACAAAAAAATAGTAAAACAAATTCAAAAGTTGACATAAATAATAATTCAACAAATAAGAGTGCAAATAAAGTGAACACCAAATCTGACAAAACTGACAATGGTAAATTTAGAAAGCGAGTGAATCTTAAAGATCATCATCGATCTAAGAAGGGTAGATCAGTTAGCACTGGCAAGCAAAGTGGAGATTATGAGAATAGTGTTTTATCTTTAGATAATAAACGAGACGAAAAATCACAAGAGCAAAATGATGTTGAACATGATCAACAATTTGATACAAAAATTTCACAAAAAAATATCAAACAAGAACGCAAGAATAAAGAAAAATTATATTTGAAAAATGATTCTACAGAAAATCAAAATAAGTCTGACAAAAAGTCAAAGAATCCTAAAAAAACTAAATACTCGGAAGATGAACTTTCACAAGAAACAAATGAAAGCTTGAAAGAAAATAGAACTCAGAAAAAGAATTATAAAAAGGAAAAAAGATCTAAAATGAATATTGGGGATAAAACTGATTCAATGAGTCAATCAGAAATGAAGCAAATGAAGATGAAGAAAAACGAATCAAAAAATGATCGAAGGAAAAGTGATTTTAAACAAGAAAAGAAAGATAAACATGAAGACTGGGAAATGAAAAAAGGTTATGATTATTATGTGTCTAAGGCATCATCCAATGACCAATCTGATGACGAAGAAGGTAAAGTAAAACACTTTCCAAGTGAAAAAACTATATTAACTTCTTCTGATGAGCCAATACATAAAAAACCTAAGAACAAGAAAGCACAAATAAAAAATAATAGTTTGCCTAAGCAAGTGGAATCAATAACTGATGGCTGGGCCTTTGAATCCTTATGTGATGATGAATGTAATAATGTTGATGGATCTTGGTTTACTGAACTTGCTAAACATAGGGAAGAGCAAAGAAACAATCATAAATCCAATAACTGGCTCTTCGAAAGAGCGAAATCTAGAGAAGAAAAACGTGATCAAGATGGTTGGTGTTTTGATCGAATAAAAAAGAAGCAAAATAATACAAAACGACAGAAGAAGAGCTCAAACTTTAAAAGCAAGTTATAGAATATATAATATATTTAATATGCATTAAGATAATCTGAATATATTTATTTTTAAAGGCTTACTTCAATTGTCTTAAATTTTTAAGATATTGAATTTTATAAAAACTAATAGCGCATGAGCTATGTCAGCTATAATTTTTTCAAAGACAGGTTTAGACATAACTTATTTTTAGTATAATAAAAAAACGTCCTGAAAGTATTTAACACTTGCATTCATATCTATTGAATATATACTTATTCAAACTTGATTCACACAAAATGGTCCAATCATATCAATTATCTTAATACAACATGTGTTAAGTTAGTATTAGTAGTTATAAGAATATGTAATTTTAAATGTTTTTATTAGTTATCAAAAATACTTTTACTAGTCAGATTAAATAGTTCACATATAAAAATAAATCTACATGTGCTTTTTGTAGGAAAATTTCACATAAGTAGATAAAACTTCATTTCTAAAATATGATATTGTAATTCAGTATTCACATGTTCATACATAAAAATATATATGATACATGCAATGCTTGTGAATGAAATAACTTTATACTTTTATATTAATTTTAAACAGCAAATAAGTAAAATAAATTATGTGGTTGTTTTTATATCACTACTTTGGTACAACAAATTGACCATGAAGGCTATTGCTAAAATTATTTTTATTCAATATAATTAACCGACAAGTATAACAAAAGTGAATGAATTGCATCTTGTATAGCTCATTCACAAGAACTCATTCCATAAAATTCATATTTTCAATCTGATGATGTAGAATACTAGTAAAACATGTAAAACCCACCTGTGATAATATATTCTTTATGTACATAAAAATGTTTCTTTTGATTTGAATATTTTCTATATTGCTAATGAGTATAATACAACTGTTGTGACATGTGTTGATCATAATCTATTTTATTGGTATATTTAAAATTTTAATTTTATCTACAAAGCTATACAATTGCAATTAGGAAAATAGAATATTCATATCATATAATATAGATTCAAGATTTACTTGCATTAGATCAGTTTTATTTAATAATTAATTTTTATCTATCGAGTTTGAATAATTATTCTAAATTTACTTGGTTTCTATAGAAATCATTATAAATACAGTAATACTTAACGCCATCAAAGTAGGGCGTAATGCGAAACAGCGAGGCTATCTTCACATGGAAATATTGGGGTTAGGGAAAGATGGCCAGGAAATTGGTTAGATATTGAATTTAAAAAGTATGTTTTTTTAATAAAAATAAAATCAAATGAATATTTTTAAATGAAAAAACAAACTAGTGGAGCGTATGGCATCGTGGCTTAAAGCAAATTATTGGAACTTCTCGTACCGTAACAAAATGTTCGAGGTTTTAAAATAGATCTATGTTTTCAAATAGATTATTATAAATACTGTAACATTAATATTTATAAGAATTATATAAACTGCATGACAAATTCAAAAATATTTATTTAAAGTAAATAAGTGAGCTTTGAAACTTTAGCCAGAATTAAAATTGAAATCTGAATTATTTTCAATATACAAAAAAAAATTTAATGATTTTTTTTTCCAAAAGCAATTGTATTGTCAACACAAGCAGAAAGTTTTTCGAATTATCCAATTCGGATGCTTTATTTCTCTCAAAAACTGCCATTTTTTGTATATTTTGGGTCTGGGTCTGCCTTTGCCAAAAACTAATAGCCACTTCTCCCAATCATTACTAATTGAATGTTTCTTAGATCATTCAAATCGGATGCTCCATTCCATCAAAAATTCGATTTCTACTTTCTTAACTCTTTGCTCTTTATCTCCGTAACGGCTGGACCTGCCTTTGCCAAAAACTAATCAGTACATCTCCCTATTAACAGAAATCGAATGTTTTTTGAACCATTCAAATCGGTTGATCCTTGCGCCTGAAAACGCGAACGAAAAAATCCGGACACACAAAACACACACACACACATCAATTTTTTCTGAGGTCTACCAAAATGTTCAGAAACCTTCAAAACGTCAAACGTCTTCAAATCAAACGCTAAATTTGAAACGCAATACCACTATCTGTGATATGCTAAAAACACTAATACATAGTAAAAAATTGTTCAAAGTTTGCATATGGCGATAGATGGCGCGTTTGCATATGATGATAGATGGCTCGAGGACCGCCGGAGCAGAAGTTGATTCGGTCGTCTTATCTTGACTTCTCTAGATCGCGGACATCGGGAGATAACGATATGGTGCATTTATCTTTCCCCGTTATCTGCTCCTATCGGGGGGTTTGTTAGGCAACAGGGGGTTGTCAGATTTGTGTGTTACAAGTGGCATGGTGTATTGAGTATGTGTGAGCGAGTGAGAAGCGATCGCGTTCGTCGACTTTGAAAGACCGGGTCCAGGGTCGACTAGTCGCATCGTGAATTGGGAGATCGCGGTTTGCGGCATATGCCGGACTTTGGAAAACCGGATTTCAAAGTCTTTGTCGATCTCAGAGTGAATCGATTCCTCTTTCTATCGCCCCTCTCTCCTCCTCTCGTGATTGACACCTTATCGTGGGGAGGGGGTTGGGCGATAACCGTCCAATTGCCAAGAGCAATTAAGTAAACAAGACCTTTAAGTAATCTCCTTTCGCCGCTTTTAAAAGGTAATCCATATTGTTGTACATGGATATACAAGTTATTTAAATGAATTAATAATATATTGTATAGGTTTATATACAACTTTTTTATACCCAAAAAATTTTTTTCCAAAATTTTTTCCCCAAAATTTTTCCCAAAATTCTATAAAATGTAATTGAGTGAAAATGCAGTTTTTTTTTTTGGCATGTTTGAACCGACTTTATACAAGTTTTTGCTGACAGATGGCTACTTATAAGTTATAATCTTTTTTCCATTTATAACTCTCGCTGTGCGAGTTATATATTAATAAGTAATAAAGTTATATATTTTTTACAACTTACAACGCACGCTTTGCAGTACTGCTTGGGCAATTAATAATTAAATCCCGCATGACGGTGCCCGGACGCAAGTGGATCCAGGAAATTTTTTTGAAAATCGAGAAACAGAGCGTAAGGAGGACATTCGCGCACGGGATTCCCTTGTCGCAATGCGCACATCATGATATTCCTGTCGCCCCACGGAAATGCAGCACGTTCGCTTCCACACACACACGTGCAAAGGCATCCAAACAAGGAAACAAATCTGGCTAACATTTTTCTAGCTATACTGCACGTCGTGCGCAAAAAAATTTACTGAAAATTTTATGTTAGCAACGGTTACCATGGCAACGGTTGCAATGGCAAAAATATTCTGCCTAATGGTTGCAATGTTAATAATTTTACTGAAAATTTTATGTTAGCGACCATGGCAACGGTTACCATGGCAAAATTTTTTGCGCACGGCGTGCAGTACAGCTAGAAAAATGTTAGCCAGATTCGTTTCCTTGTTTGCATGCTTTTCCATGTGTGCGTGTGGCAGCGAACGTGCTGCGTTTAGGTAATGTCGCGATGTGTGTGATGCGGCGGACGCGTCGCCTAAATGAGCCCGGGGCGGCGGTGCGGGGTGCCCGCACAAGGGCGTCCCGTAAGCGAGTGTCCCCCTAACGCTTTGTTTCTCGATTTAAAAAACATTTTGGAGACCGAAGTTTTAATACCCGCAAAGGCACATGCTATTGAAATGAATGCATACGAATGAATGCGAATCTGCCGTGTATGTAGTAAACTTTCAGCAATAAGGTACAGTTTAAACAAGTTTATATATAATAAATCTATACAATATCAATAAATCTATAAGTCTATTCAAAATCTTGTATTTCCATGTAGGATTACCTTTTATAAGTGGTGAAAGGAGATTGTTCAAAAGTGAGTAATAAACGCCGGTTGCTCTTGGCAATTTGACGGTTATCGCTCAACTGGACACCCTCACCACGATAAGGTGTCAGCCACGAGGGTAAGGAGAGACAGAAAGAAAAAAAGGGATCGATGCACTCAGAGTTTGAAAGACTTTGAAATCCGGTTTTCCAAAATCCAGCATATATCGCGATCTCCCAATTCGCGCTTCGATCGCTAGTCGACCCTGGACCCGGTCTTCCAAAGTTGACGGCACGCGATTGCTTCTCACTCGCTCACACATACTCAACACACCATGCAACACACAAAACTGACAACCCCTGCCGTCAGTGCCTCTCAATAGCCGCAGACAACGTGAAAAGATAGAGGCACCATACCGCGCTCCAGAAAAGTCAAGATGAGACGACCGAATCAGGTTCTGCTCCGGCAGACCTCGATGATTAGTGCGAACGAGAGGCCTGACAGATTGATTCTCACTTGAACTAGACACTTGACACCCGAGTTATGCAACTCGAGTGCAACGAAAATGCTTTTGGGTCGATGTTTCGTAGTCGAGCTCGCAATATTTCGAAGTGTGCGAAAGATGACTTGTCAAGTTGCCGACGCGCCATTTATCGCCATATGCATACGCAAACTTTGAACAATTTTTTTACTATGTATTAGTGTTTTTAGCATATCACAGATGGCGGTATTGCGCTTCAAATTCAGCATTTGATTTGATGAAATATTATGAAATATAGTATCTCTAATTATAGTAATAGTCCCGGCCCGCAAACTCGTGCGAGACGATGATTTCGGTTATTGTGTAATAAGAATAAAGTCTGGAATTCACCCGATATCGATTTGAAATCGTGCTTTTTTAAAAGCAATAGGGTGTAATTCAAACAAGATATTTAATATCTTGTCAAAATTATAAGGTGAACGTGCCTTCTGCTGACTCCTCTTTCCAAACACCGGATTGGTGTTGCTAATGGTTAGAGGATAAGCCATATTAGCAAGTGATTTTTTTCTAAATTTAAATTTTTCCAAGTCTTTAGTTTAATTTTATTAAAATCAGTGCTGTGTATATTGAAGAATACAAGGATATTCCCAGGCAGGCGCCTGGGAAGAAATTAAAAATAATGAAAACACAGAAAATGGAGGTATTGACGAGCGAGATCCTCAAAAATAAGTACAATGCGCTATCTGATCGGACCGATATGGACACGGACAGGGAGCTTGAGGAATATAAGAAGGTTAAACGGCGGAAGAAA